CGTTGTTAACAAAATTTAGTTTTTTCTATTGATGTTTTAAATTGACTGTCTTTATTTCAGTTCAGTGTTTGACTTATAAAGATGTCTTCTTTATGTCTTTGTTTGGCTAACTAAGGACTTTATAATAAAAGCTGAACCTACTGAAATGAAGAGATGAAATTTGGGCACGAGTTTTAAAAGTCTGGGAATTATTTTAAAGGAGAAAGAGTCGTATTATTAGCAGTAAAAAATAAAACACACCACAAATCTAAAATATAATAATATAATAAAAACAGAGCAATGCAATGTTTCCTAGTTTTCTCCTCTGGCAGTCAGGGTAAAGTTAATCTCGGAGGCTGAAAACCAACAAGAAAAGAAAAAGAATGTTAAAAAGAGGAGGAGAAAGAGAGGCTGTTTTTGTTTTCTGATATTTTTGTCCTTTTTTCCTCCTGCTGCTTATTGGTTAGAGCGGGGGAGGAAGAGGAGCGAGGGACAAACATAAACAAAGAGACAAACATCAAAACTGTCGACCTCAAGGGAGCAGCAGCACTCGCTAACGAGCTGCGACAGCTAGAGAAGAAGACGGAGGAAACGAACCGAGGAGGAACGGAGAAGAAAACAAGGAAAGGGAGCGAGGATGCAGAGGAGGAGAAGAAAGGGGAGAAAGAAAAAAAACAAACAAACACAAGATTCAGGAGAGCGGATGTTTTTTCAGCTAATTCAAAGCACCGAGATAGTTCAGTTATATGCACACACATTTAATATAAAACATGCAAATTCAACGATTAAAGGGAGAAAACAGCTAATGCATCATGCTGTTATTGACCAGAAGGATTCCAGTCATACATCACTCTCCCATATTTAAAGCTGGACACCCACTAAAACTATCCTCCTAGGCCAAATAAGTCAGCTGTGTTACAATACAGCAGAAATTTAGAGGATTTATTGCCATCAGATATTTGGGTTTTACTTCTGCCTCCTACAGCAACACATCATACATACAGGGGACATTTTATTGCAATCATAAGTTATGCTGTTTAAGCATAAGTCACTTTCTTTCACAACAATTGTCTGTGTTTAGATTTCTTTACTGAGTCAAGAGCTCTGACATTTCCCCAGCTGCAGAGGAGTTTATTTTCAGCAGAGAACCAGTAAAGGCCTGTAATGGGAGAGGGGAGGGAAAGGCTTCATAAAACTGGGCTACTACAGTATAGCTGTTTGGTGTTACTCCTGCAGGAAAAGATTAGCCTCGTGAGACCATCCTGATCTCGCGAGCTTTCAAGGTTTCACTCGCAGATCAGTCTGCTACTCTCCGTTAAAGAAAATTTGGAGCCGTTCACCAAACGAACGTCCAATCAGCTTTGGCCTTCGAGGCGGGTTGAGGTGTGACGCAACGAGAAGCGCGACAGTTCAGTCTAGGCTTGTCCCGATCCGATCCACGTATCGGATCGGGACGCCGATATTGGCAAAAAAATGCGTATCGGCAAAGCATGCAAAATGCCGATCCAGTTTTTTTTTTAAAATCCGGTCCGTATTTTCCAGTTTCGTCGATTGAAACGATCCATTCCACTATTTTGCGCCAGTGTTTCCCTGTTTTGCATTTTTATTAAAACTTACAGTAATACTTGCACCTTTAACTGTTTACGGTTTTACTGCTCACTGTGCAATTTCAGATTGCTATTCATAATTTTGTCCAGTTTGTGTTTATCTCTTAATAAACAGGAAAGTTTGTTGTTACCAAGCATTGTGTTTTATTCAATCTCACCTAATTCAGCTGGCTAGATGTTATCAAGAGTACTAAAACCCTTTTCAACATGAGTCTTACAACTAAGGCTAAATACTTTAACTTAAACTTAAATACATGCTTGGATAGGCTGGTATCGGCCAGTATCGGTATCGGATCGGAAGTCCAAAAACTATATCGGTATCGGATCGGAAGTGCAAAAACCTGGATCGGGACATCTCTAGTTCAGTCTAAAGAACATGGCGGCTTCAGCCGATGAAACTAGCGTTAGCGTGGCTATCGAGCAAGTTTTATCGGATTTACAGAGTATCTCTTCACTGAAAGAAGAGCAAAACACTGCTCTGGAGGCTTTTCTCAGAGGAAAAGATGTTTTTGCTCTTCTCCCGACTGGTTTCTGTTGGGATCTGGAAGCTTGTCTAACTTTCTCCGCCAGAGGGCGCCTGATATCTTCCTCCTGGGGGCATGAGCTGACTTCTACACACCTGTTTCCCATCTGCTGATCATGAGGCCTACCTAAGGAGGAGGAGGCTGACACTTCCCTGCCAGAGTGTTTGCCAGTAATGGTACCAGCAAAACCTGAGCCAGCTTATCTGTTATCTGATTTTTTGTGAACAAGTCTGACCCTGTGTTCTTCTGCCTCTCAGATCCTGACTTATCTGGATATCTGCCTAAACCTGGAGAAAGCAATCGCTTCCCGGAACCTGCCTGTCTGTCCTCCGCCTCAGCCTCTGCCTCTGCCCTCAGCCTGCCGACCAGCCTCTGGACCCACAAGGTCCCCCCCCTGCAGATCAGAATAACCTCTGAGCAGGTATTAATCCATGTCATCGTTAAACTGCAAGTTTCCTGGATCCACTCTAACAGATCTGTCCTCCTCTAGAGCTTCCCTTCCGTGACCAGTCTGCTGAGCCAAGATCCAGTTCACATTTCTCTGTAACTTTGTAAATAAACCATTTAACTTTTTCCCTGTCTGAAGAGTGTTTCTGCATGTGGATTAGACGCTTAGGCCCCAACATGACAGTTTCGGCAAGAGTTTGATCTATCAATTGGCTCCTCTTCGTCGTCGCTCTGTTAGTACGTCATATGCTTTGTTGATCTGATTGGTTTATTTGGCCCGTCTATCAACAACATAGGCCAATCAGCTAACCAGTATTTTCGCCCATTCCAAAATTACTTCAACGGAAGGTTTCCAGATGGATATGCGGAGCAAATCCATCTGTCGGAGTCAGGTTAGGAAAAGATCAGTGGGACCAGGGATCCTTTCTATGGGTTGAAAGGTTCAAGGAACAAAACACATCTACAGCTTTCCTTCTGGTCAAGGCTCAAGCTGAAGACCAGAAATTTAAAGGTAACTCCTTTAAATAACCCTAAAATGTGTTAATACAAAAATAAAGTTAGTTAAAATCAAACGAAAGAAGAAAATAAATAAATGAAAACATTTAAGGTAAGAGCTACAAGTACAAGTCCTCCTGCCCACTTGTTTATTTATTTATTCATTTATTTTTATCTTTACTTTTAAAAAGCTTCCTAAACTACAGCGTGTAAAATGTTAATAAAAACTTTGCTGAAAGAATAAATACGTTTACATCCTCTCTGTCATCTCATTCATCCAAACCTGATCAGTCCTGGAAGTGCGATCGCTGCCCTACTACTGCTAGCGCATTGTTTTGTCTTCTGATTTGTGAATAATTGTCATAATTTTTGGTTTTATGTTTGCATTCAATTGTACCTGTATGCTGCTTGCTGCTTTGAATATCATGCTGCTGTCATTTCATTTTTTTTGCACATCTCTGGTGTTGCTGCTATTTTTCTCATATCCATTACTGTAAAAATATTAACAGCTGTTATTGATATTCATTCTCCAGATACAGAGTATTATATTGCAAAACACTGTACAGTACAAAACGCTGTTATTTTTTATACACTTTTCTACGGTCCACATTGTGGGACCACTTCTACTATAAGCTTGGCTGCTGTAAACACCACAATTTCCACATTGTGGGACAATAAAGGGATTTTCTATTCTATTCTATTCTGTTTTATTGTATTCTATGCTGATAGCTCTGATGACGTCAGACAAGCAGTTTACCAGAAAGAATGTAAACGCATCCGCATCATCATAGTCGTTATTCATTTTTATAGTATAGCATGCTTTAAGGACAGAAATAAGTACTTTTGGTACCATGATTACATTACTCAATGCTGACCTGGAGGGATTCCTGGTGGCACAGACGTGTCATGGTTTTGTTTAAGTTTTATCTCTGAGTTTTGATCTGCCTTATTTCCATTTTGTGTTCTCATTATTTTTGATTCTATATGAGTTCTTAGATATTTCTTGTTTTCCCTCTTGTGTCAGTCTCCTTTTCCCAGGCTCCCTTCTTGCCTCCTTTGTTCACACCTGCTCCCAATCTGCTAATCAGTCTGGTCTTTGTTTCTTTCTCCCACATATTCTCCTCCTATAACTCATTCTTTGCTGGTTTGTCATCATTTCTTTGCCCCCGTGTTGTGAGTATTCCTGGTTTTCAGTATTATTAGATTTTGTGGATTTGTGATTTTGGATTTTTGCTTCTGTTCCCCTTTTTGTTATTAAAATCTGCAAGTAACCACCGTCAGCTTTTGTGTCTACATTGACAAGATGTAAATGAGCTGATGGTACAAATCCTGCAACCGGCTCATATCAGGCAGTTTAATTCAATTCAGTTTATTTATATAGCGCCAAATTCACAACACATGTCATCTCAAAGTTTCTCAGTTTAGCAAAATACTAAACCTGCCTTTTTAGAAGGAAAGAGCAAATCTCTGTGTCACATCTAAGTCTTTTTGCTTTCTGTACTTGCAAAAAAAGCTAAAATGTTTGACTAAGTCAACCCTTGTTTCTTTATTTTTTTGGCTTAAATAAAAAAAAGGTAACACAGAGACAAAGTTTTGTAACAGTTACTAAGATAAGGTAACCTCAGAGCTCCACCACATTTGACTTCAACTTTCTAATCTATTGGTGCAGAATCCTTTCATACTGAAGTTGGCATCTTAACCAGAAGTAAATACTCTAACTAATTCTAACTCTATTCTGCAGCAATCAAGATGTACTGTTTAATAAAAAATTCATGAAAAATTTGTTGTTTTAAAGAAAATGCTTTAGTCATGACGTGGAGCAGAAAAGACTAGAAAAGCAAAAATGAAAAAAAAAAAAAATGGTAGAAAACAAAGCAGAAAGCAGTGAGGTTAATAACTTCGCGGTCAGAGAGACAGAAAAAAAACCCAGAGCCAGATCCTGACTGACCTTCATCCTCATCGTTGGCGGTGACGGTGATGAGGACGAAGCCCACCTCTTTGTCTTCCTCCACACTGACTTCGTACACCGGCAGGGCGAACGCCGGGGCGTTGTCGTTGACATCGGTGACAAAGATCCTGACATAAGCGGTGTCTGAAGGAAGACACAACAGAGTGTCACATCAGATCACCTCTGAATGATGCCGCATCTATCAGAAAAATGTCTACAATTCCCACAAAACGATGAGGAAATCTTATTTAGGACGACTCAGTCTTAAATAAGGCTTCTCTAAAATCACAGTTTTTCACATGAAAACATTAAAGGTTAGTATCCCCTGTGCTGTGAGGAGTGTTAACGTAATCAAACTACACCGATCTGTAGAGAAACTTAAAAATTTAAACTTGAAATGAAAACTTTGAGTTTCTGAAAATAATTATTCGGCAATATTTTGACCCTAAAACATTTAGAAAATGTGTCTATCTGCAGTAACAGTCAGATTTTTACTTTTTCTGAAGTGAATTAATGGGAAAATAAAATCCTTCCAATGGCCCCTAAGCTATGCTTCTTGTTTTATAATAAGTGTGAGGAAGGTATGAAATCTGCAGCTGCAAACATGGAAAGCAAAATGCCTTCTGAAGAAAAGACATACTTTATCAAAACTGATGAAGTTTCAGCAGCTTGGCGTCAACAACAAACTAAACTGGAGTAAAGGGGAGTCTTTCAAACTGGAGAACGCTACTGCAACAAGTGCAAAACATGGTGGAGGCAGCATCATGCTTGGTTTTTTTGTACATTTTAATTTTTCAACTTCATCTTATTTATAACATGAGCAAAATACACCTGGTTTTTGACCGAAATTATCTTTTTAATATCCTAAAACTTTTAGAAATGTTATGAATTGCGATTTAAATGTGGGTCTATGCCTGAAAAACAACCTGTTAAAATTAGTTCTGCTGTCTCTTTATATGCAGCCAGAATCCTGCCAGAGGTTTATTGATTACATCAAGTGTCTCTTCAACTTGCTAAGGCACATAAAATAACTAATATAAGTGGGAATATATGTAAATACTTTAGATCATATTTCATTGATCTTTTAGGGATTCAAGAAAACTCATAAGAAATTTAAACTTTTCAACCATTTTCTTTTGTTTTAAAAACAAGTAAAGTGTATTTTTATTATTAGTGCACCCTGATCAAAAGAATTGTTCCAATAGATAATTAAAAGTCCCAAATTAATTAGACTTTGATGCCAATTAAGAAATAAAAGACACAGAAATAAAACTAAATTAAGAAATAGAAGTCCTTATTATATTTAAAATGGCTTTTCAAAATAAAAGTGTTACACAATTAGTGAATTAATTAGCAAATAAATATATTCATAAATAAATGAAATAAGTTCGTTTTGAAATAAAATTAATAAATTGCAAAAAATGATATATCTCTAAATAAAAAAACAACAAAACTGGCTAAATAATTGGCATTAGCAAAAATTTTTATTAGTTTTTATTAATTTTATTTTATTTTATTAGATCATTTTTTGTAATTAAAGGATACATTTCATTCAGTATTTATTTAGTTATTTACTAATGTCTCTCCATAGTGAAGAAAATTATGTGTGGAGCTCAGGATGGTTTTATGTCTGTGGATGGGTGGGGGGTGGTGGGGTACCTGTGTTCGGCTGGCCTTGCTGGCTCGGTCGGGCGGACTCTGAGCCATCCTGTGACTGCACCTCGATCAGGTAGGACGCTTTTTGTTCGCGATCAAAAGAAGCACGAGTTACTAGGACGCCGCTGACGGGGTCGATGCTAAAGTACTGAGAGTCTCCGCTCTCATCCTTCAGGATGGTGTAGTGGATCTGAGAAGAGGCATAGGAAAGATTAAGGAAATAAGAGCAATAAAGAGAGACATAAACATTGGATCGAAAGAATCATGTTACCATGCCATGCAGACCCGAATCGAGGTCAGTGGCCGACACCTGAGCGACCGACGTGCCAATATGTGCTCCTTCAGGAACCGTGGCCTCGTACGTGGATGAAAGGAAGAAAGGAACATTGTCGTTGACGTCTGAGAAAAGAAAAAAAATGAAAGAAGAGACATTTATTATCCCTAATTTTCCTTAATAAAATTATTTTTATTTTTGTCAGCGCTCCAACTCCTGTCTACAAAAGTTGATTAAGTTGGCTTTAAAACCAGACAACAAAGAGGGGGGGAAAAAAAACTTTTTGGTTTTCTGCAACAACTTAATCAAGCAAAGAAGATTAAATAGTTGGGATGAAGAACAGAGAAAAAAGGAAAACAGAGAGGACTTTGCTCTGCAGTCCATCAGAAAAGGAAGCTGGACCGTGTCTCTTCTTGCAAATGAAATTGAGTTATTAGCGAGGAATTATCCTCCTAACACCCTGAAGTGTCCACAAAGAAGCTTGTCAGCTCACTTTCAAGCTCCGCTAAGCCAATTAGAGCATCCAGAGTGGGTTTGTTCAAAGCCAATCAAAGTCAGGAAGTGTTTTCTCCTCTTTTCTTCCCTCCACCCACCCACGGATGCTGATTGAGAAATGAGTCACTTTTGAAATGAGGCAGCGTGGAGCTCGCACCGTCAGACATTGATGTTTTTTCCTCTTTTCTTTGTCTGCCAGAAACGTCCGGGGAACCTCATTACTCTCAGTCCTCGTTGTTTTCCAGGACTGTCTCTCATTATGCCCGAGCTGCTCCTACTGATGGTTTATGCTCGTCACAAATAAACGGTGACTTTTTACATGCAATGCAATGTATTATTTGGTCAAAACTGCTGTTAATAAGAAAGCTGGGGGTTCTGGATTTAAAACAGAAGATCCACCAAAAGAGGGACTTCTATCCACACCTATTTCTGTTAAATCAATCTTCTTGTGTTTCTCTAGGAAGTAAGATAACTCAATAAAAATGTGTGCTTTAACTGTTGTCAACTCATATATCCATGTGACATCAGATAATTCATCTGTGAGAATATAATCTACTATGTTAAAACTTTGCAACATGATAAGTAGAAATCACAAATTTTCAAGTAAAAATCAAACATTTATGAGTACGAATCTACCACCATAAAGCTGTTACACTCCTTACCAGTTGGTTGTGCTAATGCACTTAGAGTAGTTTGTCGACCGCTTTTAAACATGAGGAAGAAGACAAAAAAAGACCCATCGATCGAGGATTATTCTATTGTTGCACCAATACCAGTATTGGACGGGGCGCCGATACTGCACTAAAATGGTGGTATCTGTACCTAACCTGACTCCGCCAGATGGATTTGCTCCGCATATCCATCTGGAAACCTTCTGTTGAAGTAATTTTGGGAAGGGGCGAAAATACTGGTTAGCTGATTGGCCTATGTTGGTGATAGACGGGCCAAATAAACCAATCAGATCAACGGAGCATATGACGTACTAACAGAGCGACGACAAAAACACAACCACAAGCCAGGCTACTCTTGCCGAAACCAGTCGGGAGAAGAGCAAAAACATCTTTTCCTCTGAGAAAAGCCTCCAGAGCAGTGTTTTGCTCTTCTTTCAGTGAAGAAATACTCTGTAATTCCGATAAAACTTGCTCGATAGCCACGCTAACGCTAGTTTCATCGGCTGAAGCTGCCATGTTCTTTAGACTGAACGGTCGCGCTTCTCGTTGCGTCACACCTCAACCCGCCTCAAAGCCAACGCTGATTGGACGTTCGTTTGGTGAACGGCTCCAAATTTTCTTCAACGGAGAGTCTCCAGACTGATCTGCGAGTGAAACCTTGAAAGCTCGCGAGATCAGGATGGTCTCACGAGGCTAATCGGTACCGGGGCCAAAAAAATGGCATCAGTGCAACACTAGAGTATCCTGCGCCTATGTTAAAAAGATTTCGGCAAATACTCAACATTTGATCGATGGTTTTGTTTTCATCTTCTTTTTTACTCCTTTATTAAAGGAAGTTGGCAAACAACAACTTAAAGATTCATAATCGTAAACTTGTGAGCTTTACTTGCTTTGTTGTTGCAAAGTTCTATTAGCTTGAATCCACTTTGGATTTAGATTATTTTTCTCAAATGCCTGTTTAGGCAAAAGAGGGAAAATATCTCCTAAAAAAAGACTCACCTGTTACATTGACGTATACGGTGGTGAAGGAAGCCAGAGGCACGGCGGCAACGTTTTGCACACGCACTCTCAGCGTGAAGAAGCGCGTCATCTCGTAATCCAGGTTCTCGGCGACCAGGATCGATGCCGAGCCGTCCGCCCTGTTCGGTTTGATGTAGAACCGTACCGGCATGTTGGTCTCTGGCACCAGGCCTTCCTCCAGATTGTAGGTCACCCTCGGATCGCCGAGCGGAGACGTTGCCTTCACAGTCTGATCAGAAAAACACAGAGGACAGGATTTATCTTCTTTAGATTTTATCTATGAAGTATTTTAGGTGGGAGAGGAAGAAACTCACAAGGTATTTTTTGATAAAAATACTTCTATCTTAAGGTCATGAAGTTGTGCTTCTACGTCCTTCATAACTCATGTTGCGAGTTAGACCACAAAGTTCTGGTCTTTTGCAATAATAAAGTCAAATCTTTCTTTAAATCATCTTTTTAAAGCCGTTGTGATGTGAATAGAGGAGGAGGCCTTAACTTTGACTGGATTTATACAAAAGGGTGCAGAAAAAAAATCTAAAATCTCTTTATATAGTCACTGAATGGCTAAGCTCCTCTTCTGTCCATTCATCTGAAGCTTTGAGTTTATACTGAAGTCAAGAAATGAAGAGAACTTACATTTTTTAAAGTATGAAGCTCAACATAACTCAGAAAGAATATCAAGCCTCTGTTTCTGCTTCATAGTGATACAATGCAGTCACACAGCAGCTGGTGTCGTATTTACAGCCCTTCACAATAAAACAGACCCAAAGGCTTCCAGACGTATAACATTAAACTGAGAGAAATATTTTTCTAAAGTACACATCTAGGCGTTAAAGAATGCAGCACTTCAGGCCGTCTACAGATACAAAAATATGAAGTACTTCACTTGAATACCTAAAAAGGTGGGATTTCTTTTCTGAGTTGTACACTTTTGTCTTTACCTTGTCATCAACCGTCAGGTGAGCTTTTAGATTTGTATTATAGTAAAACCTTGAGTCTTATTGGAGGTATCTGCTGCTTTTGGTAGGTAAAACTGACCAAAGACTCATTTAACTTTAAAACTATGTAATTGTTAGTAGGTAATTATGCACATTTATGGGAAACTGTTTATTTTTCTATTAGCATGTTTGGGTTTGAGAGGGAACACTTAAGATTATCATTCTCTAGGTCCCATCGTCTCATCCAGCCTGTGGAATTATTGTATTTTGGATGGAATATGAGGTGAGGAATCCCTTTACAGCTCAGCTTCAGGAACAAACACACATGGAAAGGGAAACATTTAATAGGTAACTGTCCATTATAACAATTTACAGGCTGTAGGGGCCCCTGAAAAAGATGCCTCCTCTTATTTCTCCTGGTTTTCTGGAAACATTTTCCAGGGAGAAAACACAGAACACCCCTGAACTTAGATAAGGAGAAGTGGAAGGATGAATGGACGGACGGATGGAAGGATGGACGTATATATTGATGGAGAAATGGATGGATGGATGGATGGACGTATATATTGATGGATAAATGGATGGATGGATGGATGGATGGATGGATGGATGATTGATGGAAAAATGGATAGATATGGATGAATGGATGAAGGGATGGCTGATGAGATGAATAGATAGATGGATAGATGATGGATGGACAAATGGATAGAGAGGGAGGGATAAATGGATGTATGATGGATTAATGGAGAGAGGGATAAATGGATGGATGGATGGATTAATGGAGAGAGGGATAAATGGATGGATGGATGGATGGATGGATGGATGGATGGATGGATGGATGGATGGATGGATGGATGGATCAATGGATTAATGGATGTTGGATGGATGAATGATTGATGGAAAATGGATAGATATGGATGAATGGATAAAGGGATGGTTGATGGGATAGATGAATAGATAGATGGGTGGATGATGGATGGATAAATGGATGATGGATGGATGGATAAATGGATGATGGATGGATGGATAAATGGATGGAGAGGGAGGGAT